ATATATATATATATATATATATCTCAAAATGTTCACCCTTACATGATATTGCGCTCAATGATGCGTTCGTCTTCGCAAATGCTTTCAATAAAGAGCAAGTGGAACCCATCGGTTTGAGAGATTCGATCCTACAAGCCAAAGCGTCATAAGGTGTATAATTTTATATATATATATATATATCCACACTTTCAACTATTAGGTAGCAACATTGTATATAGTACATCCTCAAATAGTTATATAGTTCTGAACTGGAAATATATATATATATATATTTGTATTTATATAGATGACACATACTTGGATCCACAGGCGGCGTTCCAACGTCGAGTTCGTACCGTCGTAGATGGCGACTTCGCCTTCGTTGCTCAAATATTGCAGCATATCCTATCATTTAGAAAAATGATGATTTCACCGATTATATATATATTAAATATTATTTGAAAAGACGTCGATTCATAATACTTCTACCTGCAAACAATAGAAAGACTCAGAAATTGCTACAAGTACGTACATCCATGGCAGCCTCGGCCATGTCCATGCGCTGCTTCTTGCCGTCGGCGTTGTCCGGATCGAAAAACTTGGCGCTGTGGTCCGCTCCGAGAAGTTTGCGGCGGTAGTTGCCGATGTTAAACACCCGGGTGGAGTAGTTGATCCAGTTGAGATAGCGAGCGACCTGCGAACGCTCAAGCATGTCGTACGACGTCGGAATACGTACCTTGCGAGCCATGTACGACTTGCCGCGCCCGGGCAGGCCGACCATGATGACCACAAGCTTGCCCCCTTGGTTGCGTCCTTCGTGGAACAAGTCCGTCTTCTTGTCGTACTCCTGTGGAACACAACAATTGTGAGAGGAAGGGGGTATGTATGTATGACGACGCTGGATGCTCCACCTCTGAGGCTGGATTGCTCATGGTAGACGAAATCCGACGGGGAAGGGCAGAGAGTCGAGCCATGGAGATACCCAGCTCATGCATTTTCGTGGTTGACGTCTTCTACGCGAGCATCATTCAATCATGCATGTGTACACGAAGGACAAGTGAGGCTACCTCGGACGACGAACGTTGTCGATGGCGAGGCCCGTCGGTGGTGGAGGCACTGCTAGAAGACGATCGTGGAGGGTCGTCCTCTTTAGCAGCGCTTCGTTTCCTCCCTGAAGCAGCAACGGCCACGACCAGGAATGTCGCGAGAACCACCACGCATGCTTGTTGCATCCAGCGGTGATCGACCATATCTTGAAGGCGCACCTGCAGTAAAAATGGCAGCTGTATTGGTACTTTACCGAAAGGAATGTATCCCACGAATTCAACCTACACTATTTGATGGAGAAATGAAACACTAATCAAGCTGGCCAATCAAAACCACTCTTCGACAAAAACACTACTAGTACAGTACAGTATTAACAGTAAATTAGTGTATGACTGAAATTAATGTGATCGGCACACACACAAGTCTAATTTTGGGTCCATCCACTGGGACAAACCTGGTTAACTACTGTAGTACCGTCTAGATTTCACTGGTATACTGTAAACCTGGTTGAGAGTAAGCTCAGGACATGTCGAAGTGGGATAAACTGGGATAATGGATGCGATGGGTGCATTTGGTTGCACATTATAAGCTTAGTAACGTTACTGTATTGCGCAAACCCTGTGCATACCGGTATATATATATATATATACTACCTTATAATGTTACTCCATACTTTATTAGTCTGTAGTACTGGAGTAGATACGATACTATTAATATGAATAGTAGTACTACGGTATAATCGTATAATCGGGGGGTCGCCAGGGGAAGGGCGCGGCTAATCACCATGATGACGTCATCAATTCGAGTGTGTTAACGATACAGTTAATACTAATTGTAAGTAACGTTACTCAGAGTAAACCCCCAAAACTATTTCGAGCAGTTACAAGCGTAACCGACGGACCAGCCACGAACGATAGTTCGCCCTCGACGGTACATACACCATGGGTGGCGGCATCAGCGTCGACCACCACAGACACGTTGTACCGCCCAGTGTGATCTACCACACCGATATCCCTGCCTCCTTGGTCACCACTGGCACCGACGCGCAAGCGCGGGTGATAGTTTCCCTCTCGTCCAAGGATCGCGTCATCAAGTGCACGCGGGTGACCATATCGCACTCCCACTTTGCCATTTCGCACCGGTGGCAAAACCGTGTTCAATGCGACACGTACACTGTGCACTGCGACCACGAGCTACCTTACACGTGTGAGTTGTTTCCGGAAGAAGTGGTCAATTTGGAACAGTACGTGACCTCTCTGGGCAACATCTGGCTCGACTATGTGTGCATCGATCAGTCCAGCGACTCGGACAAAATCGCGCAAGTCAACATCATGGGCCAGATCTACGCGAACGCGACGTCGATTGTGCTGGGGGCGGGGCTGCAGCCGACGATGCCGCCGCGCGACTACCTCATGCGGGCGTGGTGCTTCCAGGAGCGAATGTTTGGCCCGATTCGGTTTGTGTGGGACATGGAGGCCCAGGACTTGGAGCACTTGACCGCGTTCGCAAAGGACATTGCCCTTCGCGTGTCCAACTTGGCCGAGAGCATTTCGTTCATCAACCGCAAATACGACCCCAATGAAAACTGGCGAATCCAAGCACTGCGCAAGATCCCAGAAAAGTACCCCTCAACCGCCGCGCTGTGCAATCAAATGGAGCATTTGATCAAAGACACCCGGAACGACCGCACTCAACGTCAAATTGCCATTGCTGCCCTTCGCATTCGAGAACTCGTGCCCTGTGACCATCCCATTGTCACGAGCGAGTGGAACTTGTTCTTGTTTGACTGCCAAGCTAGTATTGAAAAAGACCGACTGTATGGCACGTGGGGGGTACCCTTGTACCAATTGAACGTCCCCCTGAGCTACGAGTACCCCGACGCCACGTGGCACCAAATCGCCAAGAACTTCCCCGAGGCTGACTATGCCTTTCACGCCCCCCACGGCGCCCCCGACCAGCCCCACGGTAAATAGAACATCCCCCCTTCTTAAAATATATTTCCTCATTGATTGTAAAACATGATCATGTAGGGGGGTTCAGTGGGTTTGCCACGGTAACGCAGCTTATGTGTCACATCATGAAATACGCGCCACTGGCCCCTGGAACCCATGCGAAAACCCCCACAGGGGGAACGCAGTACACGATGGCCCAGTCCAACGAAGTGTGTGGCATCGTCTGGGACGAACACTACGTGGGGCTGGCATGGGACAAACACGAACCCATCCAAACGTTCCACTTTATCGTGTCCAAGGAATGCCTCCGACGGGGCAAGGGCAAGGGGGGTGAGTCTGGTCCCGTGAAGAAGTTCATCCGGTTGATTGAGCGATTGCGCAAGCTTGGGGCAGCAATCCCCCATTGGACAGTCACGTTCGAGCTCAAGTCGTTCTTGGAGAAAATCGCAGATGAAAAGTGACGGCTGTGGTGCATTGGCGATATGTACAACCAAACAATGTGCAACAAAACCTAAAGGGGCATTGGATTAATATGCTACATTTGAGCTCCAAAAGGACACTAACGTACGTGTCAGCGTAATGTTCGATGTATGCAGTTCATACAGTCCGCCCAAACACTATCGACACCTCCCAAAATTTCTGACTTCTGGAAAACGTACAGCACTTGGATTGAGCTACCTAGACCATATTGGGTACGACACGAAACGGCATCTATCTCGGAAGGATTTGAGCTAACGTTAGAACACGATTATCTATCGAGTGTAAAGTAGAACTTTCAACAAACATATGGTGCAAGAAGCCTACGACGAGAATTTGAGTCCCACTTGGGAAGTTATTCCTCCTGGGGGATTCAAAAGTAGGAATGCTAAGACCACAAAATCGATAGAGCTGGACAAGAGGAAGAGAACTTGTGTCTCGGATTGAGTTTATACAAAGAAATGATTGAGATATTAAAATTTTCCCTGGCCCCTCCTCTCTTAGGAATATATGGACGAGGTCAACTTTT